TTATATGAGAGGATAGGAAGTAATAGTGATAATTATTATTACTTCCTATCATCTCAAATCTCAAAATGGCATGTTTCTCTAGTACCTGCAATGTCTCCCTTCAAATGTTAGTTTGATATGCTATTTTCAAAGGTATGCCAAAGTTGTGAGGATAGACCTGTCTTTAGGATATGCTCTCGTCAATGCCAAGAATCGAATGAATTTAGATCTAGTGAACATGTAGCCAAACAGTTGAAAGATACTAGGTGATAAAACGTTCTTTGATTTCTAGGCACCTGTTTCACACAATTTACTGTTGGGAGGGACCGCATGAACACTGTTCGTTTGAAACATTGACATTGTTATTGTGCGGCAATTACTTTGTTGATCAACAGCAATGCATATCGCTGACTGTGACCTTTAAGGCCCAGCTACTCGAACCAAGACACTATAATAATGAACGATAAAGAAAACTGAACTACTAATGCAAGGAATTTTTACGTAAGAATAAGGATTTTATTAGCCCAAACTCTGCAATTATTATGTGTATTAAGCGCATCGTTCAAATGGACATGTGCCTTGTTTATCCATAGAATTTTCCACGACCATTCTCTGTAAATATCGAACTGAGCCAGAAACTGTAGCGTAAAGGTCTATTGAGCAGTCTGATCATTACACAGTAGCTACTGTGACATACATTATAAGCATAGCAATTAATAATATCCCGGACAGTTTTGTAGATTGTGACAAGAGACTGGTCAAACGTTCGGCAATGCGCCAGATTATTGCTTCCTGTGGGATATTCCATCTTTCAATTTTATTGCTATATCTTAATCCAACTGTACATAAAATAGGCCATTTTTCATTTTACTTCTAACGACCTCATTTCATAAAACTTTTGCATCACTTATAACTGTTCCGAAATTCAATTTATTTTAAGCATATTCAACATCCCAAATTCCCACAATCTTTCTAGCATATAATTTTCGTTTCGGTTAAACAATTTTATAATTTGCTGTCATTTTAACAAACTTCTATTTAATAGAATTGTCAGAGGTGCGGTTTTGTTTCAAAATTGTTTATGTACGTGAGAAGAAGGACGATGTTTTGCATAAAAATGCATAGCTAATGGCTTACACTCCACAGAACGCTGTATCAAGCTTTGTAACTAAAAATTTCTGAAGTTAGTTTCCTTTTTATTAACCGTTTGATCTTCGATCAATTTTTGATATTAATTTGATATCAATTTTTAATATTAATTTTTATCAATTTTTGATATTCGAATAAATTAAACATAAAAAATACTTAAAACTGAAAAAAACGAAAGAAATGCGTTAATTTTGAAGAAAAAGCTTTAGAGTTTAACTTCCATTTTTTCGCCTTTCCGAAATCTGACGCTGATGAGTAATTGTGTTTAGAGCTGGATGACCTTGAGAACAGCTGCTGTTGGATTTCCCGGTACATTCTCATAGAAGACTCGGGGGCGAAGGGTTTATAGTAGGGTGAATACTAACTGGCTGTATATTTTTTAAATATTTTTAAAAAATTACGTTTTTATTGCGATTTCCGACCCCCCCCCGACTTAATTAAACGTATGTATAATAAAATTTATTAATTAAAAACATTAAAAAACTATTGGCTGTCGTTTTTGATAACAGAAAGTAGCTTTAAATAACTTTACCGAAGTAAAATCCATGCAATATAACTTTAGAACGATGAATGTAATTTGATATCAAACTCCTATTAAAAAACAATTAATTGTTAATCATGCGTCATTAAAAGTAGATTAAAATCGCGATAATTTTTTTTTGTGCCGGGGAAAAGTTTCGTAAAAATTTGGAGACCTAAAAAACATCCAAAATTTGAAAACAAAAAAAATTATTATGGTACTTTCTACTGAAGCTTTTGTCGCAAATTTCACATTTATAATTCATTTTATCTTTTTTTTCCATTTACATGAAAAGAAATTTTCAACTTATTTATAATCTTATGTACTGTACCTTAAATTAATTAAAGTTTTGTCTTACATATAATAATAAATAGATTAATACAAGTAATTAAACTTCCTCAATGTCTAGTATACAAATAATTTGAGTTAAATAAAAGTAATTATCCTCGAGTATTTTGAATATGGATAAATTAATTGCTAAACAATTTGCATAAATCGCCATTAAAGTTAAATGTGCAATTCTCCGATTATATTTTTCTAAAACTATTAGCTAATTTTACAATATATTTATCTAAATTTTTATTTAAAGAATTTAACACAGATTCATTGTTTATTAATTTTACATTATTCAAACATTGAAAAAATATTCAACTAAATATTTTAATTTATTTCATAAAATTTCGAGTTTGAAGATGTGTGTTGCTTTAATTTTCAGATAAAAAAAATTATAAATTAATCTTTTAGTCGCGTATATAGAGTAAAAACATTTTTATGGACCATTCGAAATTTACAAAAAAAAAATAAGAAAAATAATTCGCACAATCCAGAATTTATCAACTATTCATTACGATTGTGTGGTAATCTGAATGCTATTCTACACTGATACGAGAGATCCTGACGTAATGGCTGATTAGCATGCTTGTTGTGCAGAAAACTCATGTTGCTGATTAAATAACTAAACTATTATTCGAAAACATTGATACATAAAATCTCTTTAACTCTTGTAGAACAATAGTGCTGTTCTTCTAAATTCTCTTATATTATACGATATTCATCTAAATGTTGGGACTTTTAGTGTCATTAATTAGTAGTTTCGTGATTGATTTACACGATTTGTCGATTCCTTCAAAAATATGTCGAATCTGAAGTAATACATTGAAAATGTTATACAGCAATTGGTACACCTCTACAACAAAAGTTCTATATTATATATATATTTTAAGAATTACTTCATTTGCTGTTTTCTTATAATAAGAAAAACCAGCTTAATAAATATTTTTGTTTCTGTTTTAGTAAGTTATGGCAACGCAACACTTGAGCGATCTGTTTAATTAATGGAATGTTTTCCAGGAGGTTCTTTAAAAGTAACTGGTCTCTATTCAGGCGTTACAGACGTATAAAAATTACGGAAAACTATATTTGGCCAGCCCGTCCTGGCAAGGCGCAAACCCACAATCAAATTCCCGGTGTTCAAGAAACGGCACTACTTGGCCACTGGTGAACCGAAAACCAGCTCAAACTGAACGACACACAAGAGTCTTTCTATGAAGATTGTGCAATAAGTTAATAAGCTAAAAAACAAAGCTGTTTTGCCACAGAAATTAACCTACTTAGAAGTCCATATTGTCTTTATTGAGAATTTTATCACGGCAAATAGGTGTTTTCAATGGCTCTACTTCTACGCCACTGGAGTGGATGTAGAGTGTAGGCTACAGATTAAGCTAACTCAATATATAATGTTTATGAGAGAGTAAATGCTTGTTTAATGTTTTCCACGGTAACTAAGTATAAACACAAATGTACCATTTTTACTTAAGAGTTAGCGTAAATATCAATTTTTACCACGTTAACTATGTTGTGTAACAAAGGCATCGTGCATCAGCCATCACAAGACATTCTAATTTCAAGTGCAATAAGTAAAAACTTCTATTTGTATTTTGCTTTTTGTAAATGCAATAAACATGCTTTATTTTATTTTGCGTGTGTATATAATGATTTAACATGTTCTAAGGAGACATGGTAATAGCTGTCAAAATACATGGTCTCTCTATTCATCAAACATGATTATACTAAAAATAGAACACTGTTTAAGATGATGAGAAAAAACCAAGTGTTTTTGTTCTATATTTAATCACTCAACAACGGGTTTAAAAACGAACTGTATTATAGAAATTTGTACATAAAGAATACTGATGTTAAATTTCGATGGCCGTATATAAGGATCATTGAAACGGGAGCTTGTATATAAGGATCATTCAAACGGGCGCTTGTATATAAGGATCATTCAAACGGGAGCTTGTATATAAAAGATCATTAATGCTGTTAAATTTTATTGTAAAAAGTCAAACGGATGGAGAAATGAAAAGTGGTTACGTGATATATTTCGTGTGGGATCAGACTTAATGAAAATTTTATTTGTTGTTTGTATTTATAGTGTTTTGTAAAACTGGTAACAATCAATCCAGAACAATTGCTTTATCTGTGAAATCGGTTGCCGTGTATTACAATAACACGAATAACAAATAACATTATGAAATTAGATATAGATGGAAAATTGCCGACGTGGTATGAAAATTCAGAATACAGCAAAATACGAAACATAATATTTTTGGAGTACAATTAGTAATTTAATTGTTGTTCTGTATTAGTTTATTATTAGAAAACAATAATTATGTAAATAAATTGTAGAATGTAAAAAAGTACATTGAGTACATTGCCTAGTAAACCGGTTCGATACGAATACATAAGGGTCGTACGATACGAGTACATTGCCTGATAAACCTGCTTCGATACGAATACAATATTCATTTTAATAGATAACGTCATTCGTTTGTTTTACAGAAAAGCAAATTATCAGTTAACGCTCCATTGTTTTTGACCTAAAACTGGTGATGACTAATGTTATTCGTTTAATTAATCAAAACTGAAAGAATATCGAATGCAAATTTTGTAAGAATCTTTTATTTTTCATTATTTCAAACGTTATATGTTTGAAATTATAAAAAAGCCATACGTTAAAGTTTAAATTTGCTTTAAAAATTCAATGATTTTGAACTAAGTGCAATTTTAACGTAAATAATTTTTGTAATTAAAGAATATTTTCAATCAATCAATATGTAATATAAATATATTTTATTTAAAAATATATTTTAAAATAATTTCAACAAAAGAAAAGATTTCGTTATATTCTCGTGTTGACTTTAACACAGTACCGGTAAGCTATGTAATTATGTAAATTAATAATATATTAATAATTTTTTAAAAACCTTGAACATTATTATTATTTTTATAAAAACCGAAATGAAATAAAACTAGTTTACTTACGAAAAATAAATATTTTACTCATTTTTCATAAACACAATTAAAGTAATTTTTTATGGTTATTTAAACCGTACGTGAAATAACACTTGTGTAGAAGAAACTTCCAGCTTGGTGCGTCATAAATTAAGAAAGAGTTTAGGTATGCATTACAGTAATTTATATTCTAAAATAAAATTAATACTAAACATTAAGACAATGACTCACAATTATCTCTTTTTTCGTCCAATCTGTTTAACTCGATGATTCAAGCTTTCCTTTCTAATTAATATCTTTTTAATGATAAGATTTCGAGTAGAACAGATTAGGAAATGTGTAAATAAAATAATAATGTACAATTTGTACATATTTATAATTAAATAGCATCGTAAGCAAACAATTAAGCATGTTTTTTTTTCCTGCTTCTCTTCACTTTGAACGAATGCAGTTAAAGTGGGTGCTTCTAGTTTAAATATTGAAACCACTTTTAAGTTTGAACCTTAACATCATTAATTATCTATGTGAATGATTAAACTTAATGTCTGAGCANTTATTAAAAAATTATTATTATAATTAATAAGCTTTTATGTTAATTATTAAATTTTATTTTTAAATGCTTTTATTATTTTAAATTGTTTTTAAATAATGGGATAAAATTAAAATTTCTACTAATTGTAATCTAATTATCCTTACTTTCACCATATAACGTTATCACTTTGTCAGCTAATCTTAAAAGTGGCACCTACTAGGCCTACTTTTACGTAAAACAAATTGTAAATAGCTTTTATAAACTAATTTTTAGTTTTATCTGTGTAAATTACAAAAATTTAAAATAAAAACTTTATGCTATATAAAACTGTGGAAAATATTACTTTTACGTAAAACAAATTGTAAATAGCTTTTATAAACTAATTTTTAGTTTTATCTGTGTAAATTACAAAAAAAATAAAATAAAAACTTTATGCTGAACTTTTTATCTTGTCATGTAGTAGCTAGTTTGGCATGAGCTTTTAAACAATATCGCCCCGTGATAAAGTGTGATGTAATTGTCAGTGAAATAATAGTTTTGTGGTAGTAAAGCGGGAAATAATGCCTTCCGGAAGGTTTTTTTTAACGGTAACTGGTCCCTACTCAGGCGTTACAGACGTGCAGAAAATCCGGAAAACACCACGTGGCCAGTCCGTCATGGCAAGACACGAATTCACTACGGAACGTCTGGTGTTCGTGGAACATAACTGATTGGCTACTGGTAGGCCAGTGGTGGACCCCTTAAAGTGATAGAATAACTCAGAGAAAAACAAATTTGTTTTGTTTGTTTCAAGCTAACATACAAAATATACTTCTAGTTCACCCCAAAAATGTCTTGTTTTCTTCACTGTACATAAAACTTGAATTAATGAAAACAATCGTGAATGCACTGGATTAAGATGGCGCTGTTTTCAAATTCCTTAAACAGATTTTTTTTCAAAATTAAGCTTAAAGAAGGAACATTCGTTGGACTTTAAATCAGAAAATTACTGCATAATGCAAAGTTTGCTCAAAATTGAATAACATTAAACTAAAGCAATTTTAACGTAAATAATTTCTTTTCGTTTGAAAAATCTTTTCAATTAATTAATGAAAACAATCGTGAATGCACTGGATTAAGATAGCGCTAATTTCAAATTACTTAAACAAATTTTTTTTCAAAATTAAGCTTAAAGAAGGAACNAAATTAATAATATATTAATAATTTTTTAAAAACCTTGAACATTATTATTATTTTTATAAAAACCGAAATGAAATAAAACTAGTTTACTTACGAAAAATAAATATTTTACTCATTTTTCATAAACACAATTAAAGTATTTTTTTTATGGTTATTTAAACCGTAGATGAAGTAATACTTGTGTAGAAGGAACTTCCAGCTTGGTACGTCATAAATTAAGAAAGAGTTTAGGTATGCATTACAGTAATTTATATTCTAAAATAAAATTAGTACTAAACATTAAGACAATGACTCACAATTATCTCTTTTTCCAATCTGTTTAACTCGATGATTTAAGCTTTCCTTTCTAATTAATATCTTTTTAATGATAAGATTTCAAGTAGAACAGATTAGGAAATGTGTAAATAAAATAATAATGTACAATTTGTACATATTTATAATTAAATAGCATTGTAAGCAAACAATTAAGCATGTTTTATTTCCTGCTTCTCTCCACTTTGAACGAATGCAGTTAAAGTGGGTGCTTCTAGTTTAAATATTGAAACCACTTTTAAGTTTGAACCTTAACATCATTAATTATCTATGTGAATGATTAAACTTAATGTCTGAGCATAAGCTTGTATAGTTCATTTTACTTTCTATCAATGCATTTAATAATAAAAGAAACTTCTTTCAAAATATGTATAGTCTGAAAAAAGTAGTCCTACGTTTCTCATTAAGTTAGTGTATAAAGTAATCATTTCATGTCGCTGTTTTACTGTTTTGTTAGTTAAGCGTTAAACTAAAATTTATACTTTTTAATAGTTGTAAATCAATATAATAGTACTTAAAGAACTTTAAAATAGGTTTTTGTTATCCTGTTTGTACTTTATCTATAACAATGAAAACGTAAAAATATACGATGGCAAAAGTTATGAAATATAAATATTTTTATTTTGTTAATGTTTTTATTTCTTCCTGCTAAATTCATTTTTCACGTAAGGTGCATTTATTTTTTGTTGTGAACCTCAATAAGTTTAAACGACTAATTTGTTTTTATTTTCGCTGTTTCGTTCTCAGTTATTTTCGCTGTTTCGTTCTCAGTTATTTTCGCTGTTTCGTTCTCAGTGTTCTATTAGTTTTTAAATCATTATATATAATTATTATTTGTAATTTCAATACAGTTATTTTACGTTTTTACAGATTTTCCAAGAAGAAAAATGATGTATAAATGCATAGCGTGTGGTATGACTTTTCATAACAAACATTTATTTCTTTCTCATCAAAAAAATCATCGATTGGAAGAACATCGGTGCAAAATCTGCCTACAGGAATTTTTAAGAGAATCACATTTAGAAAAACACATAAATGACGTCCACCCAAAAACGAAATCTTATATTTGTGAACGATGCTCTCGAGGTTACAAAACTAAAAATATTTTGCTTGCTCATCTGAAAATGCATGCAAAAAATCCGTATAAATGTACAATTTGTCCTGCAGATTTTACAACTGAAGAAACACTATTGCAGCACTACAGGGGACACGAACTTTTAGCACAATCCACTCATCTCTTGCAACAACAATCGACGCAAGCTGGTCCTTCTACTCAAAACGTGCAGGAACTAGAAATGCAAGCTGTTCTTTCTAGTCAACGCGTGCAGGGACCATGGATGCAAGCTAATTTTTCTAATCAAAACGTGCAACAACTATTGATGCAAGCTGATCCTTCTAATCAAAACCTGGAGACATGGATGCAAGCTGATCCTTTTACTCAAAACCTGCAACAACCATCGATGCAAGCTGATCCTTTTACTCAAAACCTGCAACAACCATCGATGCAAGCTGATCCCTCTAGTCAAAACGTGCAACAACCGTGGATGCAAGCTGATCCTTTTTCTACAAACGTGCAACAACCATGGATTCAAGCTGATCCTTTCACTCAAAACCTGCAGGAGCCATTGATGCAAGCTGATCCTTCTACTCAAAACGTGCAACAACCACAGATGCAAGCTGATCCTTCTACTCAAAACATGCAGGTACCATCGATGCAAGCTGATCTTTTTAATCAAAACCTTCTGGAGATGTGGATGCAAGATGATCCTTTTGCTGAAATCGTGTAAGCACCATGGATGCAAGCTGATCCTTCTAGTCGAAACGTGCAGGAACAATGGATGCAAGCTGATCCTTCTACTCGTGACTTTTAAGAATCATGAATGCAATGGAAGCTTTAACTGAAAACGTGCAACAACCATCGATGCAAGCCCAACGTCACTCAATAATTTGGCTTTGGATGAACAATGAACGATAAAGATTAACAATGTGTAAATAACTCCGAATAGAAGAAAGAAAACAGTAAAAGAAAAATGTTAGAATAATTGTAACTTCTGCTTTAGTTGTCAATTGTAACAGATAATTTTTTTTAATTTTGATGTAATTAGGAAATTTTTTCTGTAATTTTAATTCCTATTATTGTTAAGTTTTGCTGATAAATTTCTGAAATTGCTGTTGAATCTGAAATAAATGTTTTTATAAATTTTAAAGAGTTACTTTATTGATCTTTATCCACGGAAAATCTCTGTACGTTAAGAATAGTCCTGGGTTGCAAACTTCTAATACTATACAGATAAATATGTATAGTATTTTACAATCGTTTGTTTTACTTTTCTCCAATTAGTAGACTTAAATTTTGGTGCATCATGGAACGCAATCAACCTTCTGTTATTATCACCTGTTACATAAAATGTTATTTTCCGTATTCCATGTCCATTACGAAATGTGAGATGATGTCTAAGATGTACAGTATATGCAATTTCGAGCAAATCTCTAATCATATTTTATTTAAATTTACTAATATACAAAGACGTAATATCAGAAAGTTCATTTTACACAAGATAATACATATATTTAGAAGATAGTATAACGTAGCAATGGGTGTGTTTCGTGTTCATTTCATAACAGCTAAAAGGTTACGGGAGAAGAATAAAATGTATTTTATTTCACTTCTTAATTACAGTTTATTACTATTGTTTCATCGTTCGGTACTTGCTACTATTGTTTCATCGTGGGGTACTTGCTAAGATCCCCAATTTTTCCTTTAGTTTCTGTTTTTAAGCTGGCGATTCTCTTCTGAAACAATACATAATGCAGCTTTTAAACTACAATCATCCCTTTTGTTATTCTTTAGCTTCGGACGAATGAACTGCTAAATAATTTGGATAAATCATCATTAAAAATAAAATTTGCAGTCCATATAATTTTCAGAAATTTTATAGCTAATTTTACAACATATTTATTTAAATTTTCGTAAATGAAAATTAATATACATTAAAGCTGATACTCGGTTGCAAACTTTTCGTACTACACGGATTAATTTGTACAGTATTTTAAAATGGTTTTATTTTTCTTTAATTATTAGTCTTAAATCTTTGATTCTTTCGTTTCAGTGTCCGGTATTTTAGTATATTTGATTTTTGTAAATTTTCTTATTCTTGTTTCATGTATTAAATGAATGAAGCAGAAACCAAACTAAAAACAGACTTTACTTTAAATGTTGAGACCTGACCTAAGCACATTTTGTATTTAACTTAACATTAGTATCTAAAACATGTTACCTGAGAAATGAAGAAAATCTGATGACAAAATTTGAAGTTAATATGTGAAAATCGAAGTTTTTAATTAGATTTCAGCTTTTTACCCTGGCCTCACTGTAGTTCGCAACATTAATTTTAAATCTGTGTTATGTGATATTTCCTCAAGTAATAAAGAAAACAGAGAGACACTGTTTTAAATTTGTAAAGAATTTTATATCTGTTAAAACCTCACATAAATTTCTGTAATATAACTATTATAAACCGCAAATAAAAACAAATGTACAGCTTCTTTAACCTTCATATTTCGGCATTCACATCGAGATGTATTAAAGCGGTTTCCCAGGCAATTCTTCTACTGAGAATTGTATATATTAGAGAGGTTTTGGCGCAAGTTCAAACGTTAAACTTGTACGCCGAGCAGAAGTACACGTTTGAGGTTTAAAGTCCCAAGTAGAAATCGTTTGAGGTTTCCGTTCATAACATCACGTGACTCAGTAAACATTGCGCATTGACTCACAAGAAATAAGTTGAAAAAATAGCAAATACATTTTGCATCGAGGATTATCAGCAAAGGTAAATAAACAAATTAAACTGTTTAAAAGTATATATAAAATGTTTAATAACACTAAATAATTATTTTTACGATAATTAGCGTCGTGTTTCCTCCGAGAAACATTAGGAAAGTTCCAATGCGTTTTTCTTGTTATTACGACATACTTCTGTTGAGAGAAGTAGGGGCTGTAAATTCATATGCGTATGAAAATCCAAAAGGTGCTTGGAAAAGTACATCTGAACATTTACGGACTTTTATACTGTCGACAGTAGAAAATGCCGGAAAAGAACAACTTCATTCCCATTGACGAGAAAACTCGTCAAGTTTACATAGCGTTACAGAAAACTCGGTTGTGAAGGCCACTTTAAGAAAATTTTTTTTTATTTTTGGAATGTTTTTTAAGTCTTTAAATTTTTTCAAAAATTTTTACTTGCGCAAAAAAAATTTATCGCAATTTTAATCAACCTTTAATGACGCGCGATTAACGCTTAATTGTTTTTTAATGCAATTTTTTTTTATCAAATTTAATTAATTGTTCTAAAGTTGTAATGCACGGATTTGACTTCGGTAAAGTTATTTAAAGCTACTTTCTGGTGTCAAAAG